ATTTACACAGTCTGCTTTTAGGCAGACATCAGAGAGCACAGAGAGCTTTTTTCCAAATGGGCTTGAACATTCTTAATAGTGTAAGATTCTATTCAAGGTAGAATTTCCTTGGCGAACTTGGATGCAGAATTGTAGGTGACATCTATTTCATATTTTAGACAACTGTTTGAGTATATTGCTGCTTTTACTTACTTAAATGAACCATCTTAATTATTTATAAGATAGGCTCATTGTATATCTTCGCAGATTTATGATTTTACTTTTCTGTAACACCGAGATATTGTAGCACTTTCAAATGTACTATTATAATAACACATGGGCTAATTTTTTTTTTCAGGCAATATTCGACTGGGTAGATATTGCAGGTGGTAAATTAGCTTCAATGTCTCCCATCGGAACAGATCTTGAAACTGTAAAGCAACAGATTGAAGAGCTAAAGGTATGGGTAGGAGCTAACTAGTTTATCAAAGATATTGAATTTTTAAGTTCTTGATTCATAGGATTCTTTACACAGATTTATTTATTTTACATAATTGAAGTGTGACATTTTGATTACAAAACTGGCTTAATATAATGCCTGCACTTAATAAGCAGTATGTAAGAGCTCCTTAAATAAAGGCTATAAAATACTAGTAGTTTTCTTATGAAATTAATATCTGTTTATTATAGAAAAGTCAGAAAATACAAAGAAGCACAAAAGTGGCATTTTAAATGCCACCCAAAATATATGTATCCACTCTTGAGATATTATTTATATCCTTTCAGATAGTTTCGTGTTGGGGGCAGCGTGAAGTATGGGGAGTGTGTGTGTGTATTTTACACATATGTAGATCATACTGTAAGGATTTTTATAACTTTATTATTCAGTAGTATGTTATTGTCATCAATACACATTCAGCAACATTTTTATTTTCTCCATTGTCTTCAGAGTAATCCATTTAGTCTTCCAGTCTATAGAAGCTCCTTAGGGTAATTGTGTTTCTCAAAATGTTTGTTTTGTAAAGGTTTGTTGTTTTCCATCCACTTTTCTCTCTAATTTTTTCTTTTGTGGTTAGTTATCTCCATCTGTGAAAATGGCTGGACTGTTTCCTTTTTGAACTCCTTTGTCCTGATCACTCACCAAAGTGGGGTCAGCTACTTCCTTCCTAATTTTAAGTATCATCCTCAGAGAGACATCACACCATTTTCAATGAACTCTACTAGATTTTTATATAAAATTATTATCTGGCTTTAGAATTGTAGCATTTTCAACTCCAAGTGTGATATAGAATATTTTGTTTAGAAAAAAAAAATGTGGGGTTTTTTGGGGTTTTTTTTTAGAATTTTACTGTTACCATCATTAGATTGTGATTTTTATTTTAAACTTTATCTAGTCGTGTAGTAACATGATATTCTTTATGTGGTGACACAGTACATTTATAGGTGTGAAGGAGAATTTATTTTGGATATTTGCATATATCTCAGCGGTTTTCATATAACAAGCGGGTTAGAAACGCTCTCTCTGAAATCAGGTCATCTGAGATTACATCCCAGTTCATCCACTTACTAGCTAAATGACCTTGGGAAAGTTATCTAACTGGTCTCACTTCTGTGTCCTTAGCTTAAATTAAGGGTAAAATTATTTTCTTTATGAGTTT